TTATAAAAAAAAAATTTAAAAAAAAGGGAAAAAAAAAACCAAAAATTTTTTGGAAAAAAAAAAAAAAAAAAAAAAAAAACACATATAATGACAGAAAAATCATATAAAAGAAAAAAGGTCCACCAGAAATCACATTCTTAAAGAGTGATGTGCCTCGGCGCAGGGGCCGGCGGCAGCTGCAGGCGGTGCCCAGGGACCAGGATCTCCGGTCCCTGTCAGTGGGATATCAAGATCATAGGAGGAAGACCTTAATTAACCAATTTATTTTTTCTAAATTTGCCATTTTCTCTGGATTTATGTTTGGTCAAAGCAGTTGGTACAGTTGCAAAAAAGTTTAAAACATTAATAGTACAGATTAAATGCAAAGCATACATATGTGACAATGTCGTAAAGCACACAACTCGAACAAATAAATTACCTCTCCAACGCCATTCTCCACTTACAAAAACTAACTTAGGCCACTAATTAGCTCCCAATAATTAATCATTTAAAAAGATAGAAAATGTTTTTTTTTTACCTGTGTTTTTGTTAATCGCAGTTCTTTACCCCAATTTAAAAAGTAAACATTCATGTTTCAAAAAGTTTTTTTTTCTGTTGCAAATATTATTCACACTATGTTTAGTATAATGGGACAAAGAAATAAGGTGAATGGATGTTATAAATAAAAAAAGATACACGCTCTGTCAGTTCTAGGTGTGAAAACAATAAATGAGTTGAGCTTTCCATTGCTGCTGGTGTGTTAGCAAGCTGTGTCTATGCTGACATGCACCGTTGCAAACGGCTAAATAGTTTTAGGTGGTTACGTGCCACAGTCAACATAAAAGACTGTTTGTGCAGAGACTTGAGTTCTCTGTCTTTTTGACAGCTACCTGTATTGTTTTACATTTAATTCCCTGCTGTTGCTTCTGCCTGCTTCCTCTCACCTTTCTGATACTTTTAAGGTCAGAGACGGTCTTCAGTCTACTACTGTGCAGGAAATCATGTTCAAGGGTGAACACACTCATCACGCCATGATTTATAAAGCAACAAGGACATGGAGTGACGAGGATCCAATTAATATTCTGTAACAAATATTTTGTAAACATTTACATGAGAGTTGTCTAACTAATCTATTCCTCTGGTTCGCACTCCCCCAGGTGTAGCTTCAGGACACCCTGGTTGTGCAACTGCAACAAAAATTGGAACTCTTCCGACATAACATGTACAGATTTCTTAGCTTCATTGTTGTCATAATAATGGTGAGTCAGGTCTTTGAAGGTGTGTGGGTGGAGACCGAAGGGCCAGAATCCATACAGATCCACGTTGTCACACAGCTCCAGCACCAGACTGACCATCATCAGACCCGTGCTGAGACGGTTTTCCAACAATCCGTGAGAGCGCCAAAAAGCAGCCAGTCTGTCAATGTAATCTGGGTTCATGAAAACAGACTGGATGGGCATTTCAAAGTCCTCAATGGTGTACAGAGCCCGGAAAGACAATGCTGTGTTTACGACGTAGGAGAATGCAGGAAGCAGCAGCATGGCGTCACCATATTGGCAAAGGCTCTCCACAAACCGGCGTCGACTGCCTAAAAGCGAGCCGTACCTGCAATAATAAACAACAGTGAGATACAAAGCTTGAAAGAAATGTAACTTCAAATTTAAATTGTTTGCTCACCTATAAGTTAAAATGCTTGGATTTGCAGTCACAATATCTGTTTTCACCCCAACATGTTCCTCATATCCGTTTAACAAAGGAGCCAGGTTACACCTGATGAAGTAACATAGACAGTTTAGTTTGACTTGCTTTTATTTTATTTTAAAATATATGTCATACACTTGACGATGTTCTTACCTGATCACAAATTCAGCTGAATCAATCTTTTTTCCACACTTGCTGTTTGCCAGGATTCCTCCGTTCCCAACAACAGCACATGAATGCAACGTTTTATTAAAGACCGGATGCTTCTGCAATCATTAGCAACAGGAAATCCAACATTATAAAATAAACTACTTAGAATCTATCCTAGAACATTCACCTTAGCTCATTGGGGGCTGGTTTTCGGTGTTCGTTGTAGTTCTATCATCTTATAAATGACTGAATATAGTGGAAGGAGTCCTCTGACTTTATAAGGGTCTGTACATGCACACGCACACACACAGCCCTTTTGTTTGAGTCCTTCATTTAACCAGGTTGACTCAGGGACATGATATAAAAGTAAAGTTAATGCTAAAATACAAATAATCAAAGCATTTACGAAGAAATGCCTTATTAAACTGATTACATTACATTTAAAGATTCTACCTTCTTTCACTTTAAGTCTTTCTGCATTTCCTTGCTGTCTCATGGAGCAGCAAACTGGAAGTACTTGTGGTCATGATTCATGTGAACATCACATACAGTAGCCATGTTGTGTTGAGGATGCCTCAACGGACGCCTGTAGATGTGCATAAATAGTTTTCTAAGAAATATATAAAAAATAGGTGTGGCTCAGTGGTTTGAAAAGCCTACTAGGACATACATGACATGCAGCAGATAATGAACAGGCCAACTTATCTGTTCCCACTCCGGCATGCACACATACCAAACATGAGCATGTACCGCCTCCCTTGATTCTCCTAATAAAAGTCTGAAGAGGAACCAACCAGCTTGCAACTCCTTAATTAGGAAGTTTTATGAACATTTTTATATAAAGCTTGTACAACAGTTTAACAATGGTTAATGCTGAGTAAAACTGTAGCACAAACTTTTCTGATTAAAAAAAGTAAAATCAAATTCTTAAACGTTGATGTAATAATAAAGTAATTCTAAGTAAAACACAACTTACTTTGACAAATGTGGCAAACATAAGTGAGTTCACTTTGACATTATGCCTCCTCTCAGCATCGTAGACAATCTTTGATCCCAGTGGAGTGTTTTTCTGGGTTATGATGGCGTTCTCCAGGCCACTGCACTTAAGGCTGAGCCAAGTCCTCGGAAATCACAAGATCATAACATCCTCAGCATTTAGCTCTATATAGACATTTTCATTGTACAAAAAAGAAATCTAATTTCCTCTTCTTTTTTTTTTTTGTAATTTGTGCATTGTTTGTTTTAGGTGGATGTTCATTTTGTCAAAAACATACTCCACACGGAGAGTGACGAACAATAGCGCAAGTCTCCACCATCTGGGCTGAAACCCAACACAAAGGACGAGATGCGTGTTGGGTTTCATCCTTTCATTTTCTAATTTGAAGCTTTTAATGCTAAATTTACCTGATTTCTTCATGCTTGTCTTCATTTTTAACCCACGGTTTTGAGTAATTCGTAAGCATTTCTTCTATTTTCTCCCTGTTACACATCAATACATATACTCAGTAATGTCTGTAAGCATTTTTGTCACCAAATTAAAGAAATGGAGCAGCTTGAACTCACCTGCAGTCTTGACAAGGCTGGGGGTTGTTTTTCTGATCTTTCTTGTTGCTGTGGTACAAAAAAAGATACATTTTTAAAGAACTGTAAAATAAAGATGGTAAATTACTTAACACAGCTTCATCATTGGTTGGTTTGTCGGCTAAATGACTCTAGTAGAAGCTGGGTTTCAAAGCAGTGTCATTTTTTTCAGTGCATCAAGAGACAGTAGCAGAAATGAAGATGAATAAATGGCACTGTTACATCTGAATCAAATGAATGGTTCAAATGAACCAGGACTTTCTGAAACTTCTTGACATTCAGTTTTGATTTAGGCATCCAAACGTCGCAGGACACTGACCCATGAGGACTGGAGTTGCAGAACCCTGCTGCAGAGAACGGAAAGGGTTCTGTGCAGAAGATAAGATAATGTATGCACAAATTTTTGAATACTGTTCTTGTGTTCCCAGAAAGCCAGTGTTGCTGGGTTGTTAGGGAGAGGCAGATGCAGTTTAAAGAAGGCCTATGTGAAAATGTTGTAGAGAAAACTGACAGATCGATCTGAATACAGGGGGATTTATTTAAATCCATCTGGAGAACAAGGAACTGTGAACATTGGTATTCCCCAACACATAGCTCTAACTTTAGGTCCAGTCTTTTTCTACAGACACACTTTCTATTGTATATTTGCTTCATCTATCTTGAGGAATCCTTTCACATTTAACATCTGATTTTGGAATGTGGTCTCAGTCAGTTTAACCTGAATGTAATACATTGAAGCCTGTGGTTGTAATCTAAATAATAAAAAATAAAATAATGCTGCAAGGCATCACATAAGGACAGCTGTTTTATTGTAATGTATTTTCTAAAAATCAATCAAAAAAATTCTTTAACATCTTTGACAAGACACTTACTTGATTATTTGAATATCATTTTTCCAGACTTGAGAACAAACTTCTGTTAGTTTATTGTTTTTCTCCCTGAGACAAAAAAGTACATCCAGATACAAAGTACAATATAATTTTGGGTTGACTTTTGATGACATGGAAGAGGAAGCAGTTTACGCTCACCTGCTTTTTTTACACGAATCAGTGATTTTGTTCTGTGCATGGTGGTGCTGAGGGTGTATGCTGAAAAGATCCCAGTCACTGATAAACAGAAAAAAATATTTGGTAAAATTGTCACTTAGACTTGAAAGCAGAAACTGAGTTTGAGTTGCGTTTTTACAGAATCTTCCAACATGGAAAAATGAGTAAAATGCAAAGTAAAGTCTGTTGCTCTGACCTGAATTCCTTCAAGTTTTTCCTTCATGCAGTTAAAAGTATTGTGTCTTTTTTATTATTATTTAAATATTTTGTTAATATTACGAAAATCTGTTGTATGTTTTGATGATTTTCCAGAATAGGAAAACCTTTCAAGTTATGATGCAATAAAATTTAAAATAGTTGCTAAATAACTAGCAGAAGCCCACAAATGAACTAGGAATTGATTAACATTCGTTTTCCAGTCAGTAAGACAAACATATCTTACTTCTATTTTTCTATCCTTCCTGTAGTTAAATGTCCAGCTTATGCTTCACTTTCAATTTCAGATGTTGAAAAATTTTAGACTGATAATAGCTATTCCAACATATTTATTGAGGCTGATATAATTTTTAGCACTTAAATATAATTAACTATTCAGGCACCATGTGTAAGCTTTGGTGAGACATTGTCTTTTCTATTTTACTAGCAGTATCTGAAGTAAATTTTATCAAAAAATTGTGGTCCGAACATATTCATCCCCCTCATTATGATCACAATGCATTTCTTTTTTAGTATCTGATATATCAGGATCTTCCACTGTTTTATTCTAATTACAGTGCAAATATCTTTGATTCTCATGTATAAAACCTATACTTGAATGGTTGTAAATCACCCAAATTTTCTGGCGTTGTTAAAGTTTAAAGAAAACTTACGTGTTGAATGTATTTTGATATTTCCTTGTCTACTTTAGGACACACACACACACACATATATAAACATGTACACGGCTCCAGGACAGAATAGAATAGAATAACAAATTACTGTGCAGTTATCAGAAATAGGAATATTGGATTTGTGAAACTGAGTCAGACCACCTTTCCAAAAATCTACATAATTGAAAACTGTGTATTGAAAACTGAAAAAGACAGACTATTTACCATACAGAAATGTTGTTTAAAAATCAATAGGAATAAAAAAAAACACACAAATTAAATTAAACATATACAAACCAAAAATGAAAAATTGCACTTAAGGCTGAGCCCAGTATCTAGCCAGATATCTGGCTATATAGATAGGCAGACCATAGTCAGACAGACAGAGAACTTTATTGTCATTGTATGTTGACATTAAAATTTATTGTCTTGAGTAATAAAATTACCAATTAAAAAGTGAAAAATTGCTAAAAAAAATAAAATAAAAGTTTAGTCAAATAAAAATAAATATTTAAAAGGAAAAACATGTAAATGTATAACTTTAAAAGTCAATGAATTTGTATGGCGTCAGTTCAGTTTGTAATATATAATATTCCCATAGGATCTTCAGCATGACTGTCTCCTGCCCTAGACGTAAAGCTGCAGTATGTAACGTTTATTTACATTATTTTTTATTTAATTAAAATTATCACTATGTCCTGAAAATATAAGACAAATCTGTGTAAAGAATTAGCTCCTCTGCCTTCTCCCTGTGAACCTGCTGTCATCTGAACAAATATTCTGCTCTGTCCGACAACCAATCAGAGTGGGAAGAGGGTCATAGCGCTGTCAATCGTTCTCATGTAAGCGCTGCTCTACCCCAGTATCCATGGAACTTCATGTTGCTTCTCCACCATTAGCATATTTAGAAGCATGAACATGAGGTTGATTGACAATGCTAAGACCCTCCTCCTGACTGGGTGTTTTTGACTTTTTGTTCTCTTAGCGCTGCCAATCAACCTAATGTTCGTGCTTCTAAATATACTAATGGTGGAGAAACAACTTAATGTTCCAGGAGAACTGGAGTAGAGCGGTGCCTTTGTCTGCTGCTGTACAGTTGGAGTACCTACATTGTACAGCAGTAAGTCAGTGACAGAATCTGGTCATCAGCTTCTTGGACAGACGACACCGCCCGAGGGTTCTCAGAAAAAATGAGTCTTTGCTGGGCCTTTTTTTAAAGAGTTATTTGGTGTTAAAGCTCCAGGTGAAATCCTTTGAGATGTAGACTCCCAGAAATTTGAAACTGCTGACCCTTTCTGCTTGCTAATGTCACATGCTGTTTTAATGTCACATGCTGTTTTATTTTTTTTAATTATGTAAAGCACTTTGAAATGCCTTGCTGCTGAAATGTGCTATACAAATAAAATTTGATTGATTGATTGATTGATTGCTCACCATCTATGCTAAGCCCTGGATCAATTGTCCTCTTTGCTCTGAAGTTGAGGATTATTTCCTTTGTCTTCTTGGTATTCAAGGTAAGGGAATTCTCCCTTCACCATTGGTTTACCATGCTATTAGCCTTTGAACCTCTTCTGTATATAGTTGTGTCATCCACATTTTTGAACAAGATGATACTTTTTTTTTTTTTTACACATACACACACACGCACACGTAGCTCTCAGATACCCACACAGAGACTCAGCCCCGTGTTTCTCTCTCATGCACACAAATGGATCCAATAACTAAATTCCAATGCGGCCACAGTCAAGGGACTTCCTTTCTTCTGTAACTCAGATCGAAGACCAACCTTTTATCTTTTATTTTCTTGTCCTATGGTGGACACTGTCACCCCTTTGCGTTTCTTCAGTATCTCAGATTGGCCAACGTGTTCTTTTTCGAGGGCAGTTCTCCTCGAGGAAAAATGGAAGAAAATCTATCCTGTACCTTCCCCGCATCCGACAGAAGGGGGGCGTGGCCAACTCCCACTGCTGGACCCAGACCGAGCTGATCGTCCTTTACACCGAAAACTACTTTATTCCTTCGCACTTAAAACTACTTTATTCCTTCACACCTAAAACTACTCCTATGAACAATGGCTGATAACTGAAATTTAGACAGATCAGTGAAACAGTATGAACCACGGCTGATAACTGAAATTTAGACAGATCAGTGAAACAGTATGAACCACGGCTGATAACTGAAATTTAGACAGACCAGGGAAACAGTACAAAGGTGTATTTTAAGGAAAAAGTTTCCTTACCATTTGTGTGGGCAATACACAAGAGTACTGTATCCGAAAGTCTGCGCCTGAACGGCCAATCCAGTTTCTGCTCATGTGTCAACACAAACCCGTCCTCTGCTACCACTTGTTGAGGATGGAAAATTCTACCCGATGAATCAAAATGCGTAATGACACATGGAGCATAAAATCAGCCAACAAAATCATTAAGACTATACTTAATGATTTTATTCACTTTCAGCGCTGAAAGGAGACACTTTTACCATTACATTCGAGAAGAGTTTCTAAAAAAGTCTGTGCAGTGTCTGAGGAGAAGGAGGAGGCTAGCTGATTATATGGCCTGAAGACACTCCCTGAAATCACACCATGTCTCTGTGGCCTGATAAGTTTCTGTTTTCTGAGAAATGGGCCTTAGCGTCTAACACAGTGGTTCTTAACCTGGGTTCGATCGAACCCCAGGGGTTCGGTGAGTCGGTCTCAGGGGTTCGGCGGAGCCTCTGCCGCAGAGGTAAAGACACACTTGTGTAAAGTCGTGATGACGCCCCGCTTTGCCATCACTTGCTGCAGAGGATCATGTTACATTGCTTAGCCAATCAGTGCTGCGAAGGAGCACTGATTGAAGGAGCTCCACTCTCAGCATGGATTTGAACTTGTGTCTTTAATTACTTCAGTAAAGCTCACAGTTTTTACCAAATTCTACAGTCTAAAACTGCTCCTTAGTCACATCTTTTCGGGGTTGGTACTGCCTCTAGTGGCGTGGGGGAGATAATACAACCAGTATAATTACATTAATAAATCAGAATACCACAAATTATTTTCTGTGTCTGTGGGGGGGGGAGGGGTTCGGTGAATGCGCATATGAAACTGGGGGTTTGGTACCTCAAAAAAGGTTAAGAACCACTGGTCTAACAGAATCAAAAATGTAACTCTTTACAATGGGCCTTTTTCGACCTTGGTAAAGCATCTCAAAAGCACCCTCTCAGAAGTTGGCATTGTAAATGTTTGCCATTGCACAAAAGGGTCAACTAACTGTCATATTTTTTATTTATACATTGTTCAATTAGAAAAGATGTTAATTTTGTTAAAAACATATTGTATGAATTCAGTAAACGCTACTTTTGGGCAAGTGTGACACAGTGATACACAATCCAAAGACAACTTGGTAAACCCAGCTGAGCCAAAAATACATCATAATATCTGTACCAAATCTAAACTCCTCTGTCTTGCTCATAAAAGTATAGCTATGGACCTGGGTATCAAGATTGATACCCAGGTCTAATCTTGATACCCAGATACCCAGATTGATACCCAGATTGGACTACTGTTTTCTGTTAGTTGCCGCCAACTAACAGAAGACAGTAGTGGATTTTTAGGTAGATAAGATTGGTGGATAAGATCAGCTTCACATGATTGGTCGATCACCGATCTCCTATAATTAAGGAAATTGGATCCAATTTATTGGTAAACTCCGAGGGTGACCAGATGTTTAAATTTTTCCTTGATGTATTTTCACTGTTATTTTCAATGTTTCAATATGCAATATAGCTGCCTACTGCAAGCTTTTTATCTCTGTGCCTTTTTAATTTGAACTTGAAACTTAATAAGTGATAGTGATTAAATTAGCATTTTTTTAAATGGCCTACAGGTTTAATATTATCAGTAATTAAGTTGATAAAGCTGTAGTAAAAATAACAAAAGACTTTCACAAATGCCACCTCTGAGTATAAGACATGTCTACATAGCAAACATTAGGCTAAATGTTTCATGTTCTAGTTTGAGGCTTTTAATAATAAATTTACCTGATTTCTTTGTACTGTTCTTCGTTTTTAACCCACGGTTGTGAGTACTTCTCAAGAATTTCATTCATTTTCTGCCTGTTGCACATCAACACATGCAGATACTCAGTAATGTCTAGGAATATAGTACAGACCAAAAGTTTGGACACACCTACTCATTCAATGAGTTTCCTTTATTTTCATGACTATTGACATTGTAGATTCACACTGAAGGCATCAAAACTATGAATTAACACATGTGAAAATATGTACTGAACAAAAAAGTGTAAAACAACTGAAAATACGCCTTATATTCTAGTTTATTCAAAGTAGCAACCTTTTGCTGTGATTACTGATTTGCACACACTCTGCATTCTCTTGATGAGTTTCAAGAGGTAGTCTTGAAACGGTCAGGTTAACCCTGTCAGGTTAATAAGTGGGATTTCTTGCCTTATAAATGGGGTTGGGACCATCAGTTTTTGTGCAGAAGTCAGGTGGACACAGAGCTGACAGTCCTACTGAATAGAGTGTTAGAATTTGTATTATAGCAAGACAAAAGCAGCTAAGTAAAGAAAAACGAGTGGCCATCATTACTTTAAGAAATGAAGGTCAGTCAGTCCGAAAAATTGGGAAAACTTTGAACGTGAAACTGTTATAAAGCGGTGATTGTGAGGTGGTGAGGATAAACGCTGAGACCCAGGTTATGGTGATGATGATGAATGTTTCTCTAAACAGTCCAGTCAGGCAGCATGGCAGGAACAATAGCACACAGCTAATAACCGGTAGCAGCTGACAACTTTGTGACTGAAAGTGGGAGCTAAGGCTAACCAGGTGGACTTAAATACACAGGGAGGTAATCAAGGGAACGAGACACACCTAGGAACAATCAAGGGCTGACAGGACAACACAGAGACTCAGGGAAACAGGACTAAACACAAAAAATCTCAAAATAACTATACAGAAACACGGATCATGACAGAAACTCTTTGAATGAAAAGGTGTGTCCAAACTTTTGGTCTGTACTGTATGCCATGAATGACTTAATTTGTTGGGGCAAAAACAAAGAACGACACCAAATTAAAGGCAAAAGTCAGGAATGGTGCAGCTTAAACTCACCTGTCAACTTGACAAGAGCTAAAAGACTGCTTCTTGCTGTGAAACCAGAAAAAGAAGGTTTTTAAAAGAAGAGTAGATAGGTAGGTAGCAATTCCTTTACTTCTCATATAGGCCTTTTATTTTTCATATATTTTATTTTTCCAAAGTTTGGTGATAGTTTTCCTACACATACCTTACAACTGGGTGCAATACTCAATACTCAATGCAATAAAATTAGAGAAAGTAGGATGTCTTAAACAAGTGTGTTCTAAAAGAAGACAGAGTCAATATTATAAATGTCTGGCAAGACTGAGTTCCACATATGGGGAGCAGACTGGTTACTACTAATAATCAAATATTAATAATTATTATGATAGTAAAATAAATCCCCCAAACTGCAGCATACTGTAGCACTGATGCTAATTTATAGCATCAAAACGCATGGGCTCCAACCGACGGGCACACTTTGGCAGGCCCCGTTTAAATTTCTTCACATATTTCCTAATGGGCTCTTTGCACCTAAGGCGTTGACGTCACATCTCCAGGAGCTAATGCGGCTCACTTTTT